AATGTCCATTTTTCAAATTTTCTTCATTTTCCCCCTTTTTTTTCCTTTTCTTTTCTCAAAAAAACTTAACAAAAAAAACTAAAGTGCCCAAAGATTGAATTTGAACGTATTTCTGTGAACAATTTTCTTCTTTTTCTTTTTTTATGATTTTCCCTTTTTCTCTCTTTTTTTTCCATTTTTTCCAAGAAAACATTGCATTTAAATCAAAACAATTAAAACATATTTTTTTTCTTTTTCGAGAAATTCTATGCTAAAAACTTAAAAATAATAATAATAACACAAAAAAACTAAAAAACTAAAAACTAAAAAGTGAATAAAACGAGCACAAACTAAAAAAAAAATAAATAGTAAATGAAATTACACCAAAATTTGGTGTCTATAGTTTGCCCCTCTTTGTCTGAGTTTTGGAAAAACTTGAGACAAAGAAGTAGACACCAAATGCTCACCTGTGTTATTGGGCTGCAAAAGATTCCCACGAACAGGAATTTATAACACGGGACTGACCCGAACATGAAAAATAAAACGGGACTGACCCGAACCAGAATTTAAAACGGGACTGACCCGAACAGGAATTTAAACGGGACTGACCCGAACAGAAATTTAGAACGGGACTGACCCGAACAGAATTTAAACGGGACTGACCCGAACAGAATTTAAACGGGACTGACCCGAACAAGAATTTAAACGGATGAATTGAAGTGAAATGGAGTGTTAGTGGGATTGACCCATGTTAATTGATGATACAAATGAAAGAAGTGAAAGAAGTGAAATGAAGTGTTAACGGGACTGACTCATGTTTGTTAATAATGCAAATGAAATGCTCGCTAGTGGGACTGACCCACGGTTAATGGCGAACGAAAAGAAATGCTCACTAGTGGGACTAACCCACGGCTAGTGGCGAAGAAATTGCTCACGGACGGGACAAACCCAGCTCCAATAGCAGTGAGAATGAGATGCTTACTGACGGGACAAAACCCAGTTCCCGTAGCAATAAAATGATTTTGATAATCGGACAGTGGGATAAAACCCGAGCCTGCCGAGGTCGGAGGGATAAAACCCGTGCCCTAACGAAAATAAAAGCGGTCAGTGGGATAAAACCCGAGCCTGCCGAGGTCGGAGGGATAAAACCCGTGCCCTAACGAAAATAAAACAGTGGGATAAAAACCGAGCCTGCGAGGTCGGAGGGATAAAACCCGTGCCCTAACGAAAATAAAAGCGGTCAGTGGGATAAAACCCGAGCCTGCCGAGGTCGGAGGGATAAAACCCGTGCCCTAACGAAAATAAAAGCGGTCAGTGGGATAAAACCCGAGCCTGCCGAGGTGAACTTGATTTGTTTTTTGACTTTTTGATTTTTTGATTTGATTTTTTCCTTTTTTTTCCTTTTTGACTTTTGAGAATCTTTCCAAAAAATTAATTTGCCCCAGTTGGATTGTGACAGCCCCACCTTCCCCTAAGGCGAACCAAAGAGGTTAGCGGACTGCCTGCCCAGCTCTCGCCAGGACTAACGGTGCAGTATAGAGCGATCTTTCACATTCCGGAACTTATAGCGCGCGCAAATAAGGCAAAAGGGCAAAATAACCCAAAATAAAAGGAAATGAAATCTGGGGTCGGCCATGAATAGTAACCGACTCGTCCGAACCCAACCAGACATCGAATTACATATACCACATAACATTTAGCCTTTACAAACCAAAATGACGTTTAAAAGTGATACAAAAGTCACTACATATATGGTTTGCCAAAACAAAAGTGAAAATGGCCCTAATGATACATTTAGGGTCCCATTTTATATACAATACAAAAGAGTCATTCATCTAGTTCATTCGGCAACCATTTATCAAAATTCGTTCCAAAAGAGTCATATTCCTGTAAGGAAAACAAAAGGAACGGGGTGAGCTAATTGCCCAGTGAGAATACAACTCAAGCAACCAAGTTCATGAATACGTCAAGTTTAACAGTCCAATTTACCAAAATAAATAAAGCCACACATTAATAATGAGGATAAAAGGATACGGGTGGCTCTCAAGAGCCCTTTTCCTCGTTTGAATTCTTGATCAGGTCTCATTGACTCTCCGTCAATGTCTGAAAGGTAACCAACCGTAGACTCCTCTTAACTTCCATTCCCTTCCTCCTAACATTCCTCAACCGGGCCCGAAATCCAAACACTTGCATTGTGGTATTACTCGAGTAAACCAGAATCAAGAGTCTCTCATACTACAAGATTCCCTATGATGTTGCCCCAAGGCACATTAATTGGCACGACCAAGCCCTCGCCGGCTCGATTCAATCAATAACCAATGGGGTTGAGCTCATGGATAATATTTGAAGTCATGTATTTCATTTCATATAACATTTCATATAACATTTCATATAACTTTCCAATAACATGCGAAACAATAAGTGAAAGTGATAAAGTACACTCTCACTTGGATCAATCAACATTCAACATCTCAAGTACAAAGATCAAAGCCATGTAATAGCACATAAGTGAGTAGTACACTCACCTAGCTAGTACAATGCGGTTTCAAATACTTTAGTCAAAAGAACGTTGTGCACCACCGTCACGCCCTAAAATCACGCAACAAATGCAATGAGACTCGATAACGAGTCATATAGCAATGCTAAACACAACCCCAATAGGGTTTCATATGCATAAATGAGCATAATAGCAAACCAGAAATTAGAAAATGGCCTTAGTCTTGGCCCCAAATAGAAAACTGTTTTGCCCTTATTATTTTGCCCTTATTATGCGGTAATGGTGTAAAATTCTCTACGGTTATCGGATGGGGGTGTAAGACCCACCGTTTCGAAGCTATGAAACAGGGCTACAAAAATGTAGAAGGTCACTCAATCCAGTTCCTAGCTTAACTAGGTCGAAAATGCCAAATACTATACCAGAATTACCAAAACAGGTTTGCAAATCACACAAAACTGTAATTACTATAACTTAGTCTATACAAGTCCAAATGCCGAAATTCCAAAGGCATATGTTAGCTAAGACATCCAGCTACATTTCATCAGAAGACACCAACAACTAAATCCAAACCAATTCCAGTCAAAATGGCCAATAACCAGTACAGTTTTCGCATTCTGTCCATAGCAGAACAGCGACAGTAATTTCGTCATATCTCACTCCACACTAATCCAAATGACCTGAAATTTTGCAGGCATCTCAAACACATCAATACCTACAACTTTCATGTTTTGAGCAAAGTCCAATTCGGCCTCTATCTATGACCTAAAATTTCGGACAGAATGTTCAACCAAGAACCCTAATTTTTCCAGAAATTCTTCCAAATTCAAAATTGATTGCAATTTCCTATCATATGCACCTACTAGAGCCAAAGCCCCTTATTACCAACCATCAAAAACAACCACACCATCAAGATCATATGAAACCAGAAAATTAACTCAAAAAAATAAAAAACTCAACCAAATCACTTCAAACCAAGAAATAAATCATATATTCCTTCACTCATGCCACCATTAAGCATCATATAACCATCATTAGGTATAGGGGAGAGGTTGAAGCATCACTTACCAAGAAACAAGAGAGAGGAGGATATTGGACACCTTAGCTCTTCAAAACAACTTCACTAATACCCTTACTAGCACTAAAAGATAGGATTTTATGGAGTGAAATGGATGGAAGCAAATGTTTTTGGTTGATTTGCACCAAGTAGAAGCTAAAACTTGAAGAGTTTCTCCTTCCTTCCTTGAGCTAGAGAGCCGGCCAACAAGAGAAGAAAATGGTGAGTTTTAGTCAATTTTTTGAGATATTTAACTAATGGGTCAAAAGTCAAAAACATGAATAGTAAGCCTTAAGTCAAACCCAATGAAACAATGACACTTGGCACCTCAATTAATGCAATCCTATCCTTTCTTTTCTCTCTCACATCAATCATTTCACACACTCTACTTATCTCTTAACACCCGATAAATTTTACACAGTATCCGAAACTTAACCTTATTGGCCGAATTTTTCCGAACTTTTCGCACTAGTGGGTCCCACGTCCACTATTTACTCTTAATTTTCTAAAAACTCTCTAATACTAGAAAAATCATCTTAAAACTATAATTACGCATAAAATCTACAAGATTCAGTAAAAGAGGCTGAATAGATAATCTGTTCTCAAGAATGAGATGACCAACTTAATGTGAAGCCCATTTTCTATTTTTTTTGACTCCCAGAAATCATGGCAAGGATGTTTGCCTGGTAAGATAGCAGGGCACAACAGTGCCAATTTAAGCAGAGTCTGCTTCAAGCCAGGTCTCCAGCCCACTCAAGGAATTTGTTATAAAGCCACATCCTTGGTGACAGACACTACCTGCTAGTCGCATCTGTAATCTCTGTCCTACCCTCCCCACCACCATCTCTTTTGTAAGACAAAAGCTAGGATATAATAGTTCAAAGGATGGGGAAAGTTCAATGTTTGAAGAAGACCGTAGTCTAGAGCATCAAAAGACCATTTGAAGAAACAACCAAAATAATAGATAGTGATGCATCTATGTTAATAAAATTTCTATTTCAATGTCTAAACCAAAATAGCATGAATTGATTCTGCAAGACAAGGTTGCTTAAAGACATACTACAACAAAAGTCAAAGGCAAGCAGCATAGCAACCAATTAATATTTGCTGCTATTGTACCTAGGTAGCATCCAAGACACTTCTAACATAGCTTAGGAGGAGTCATTCATTCCGAAGTTGCATTAAGACTACTCAACCAATGAACTTCATCTGCAAGTGGATATAGTCTAGTTTGAAGTTATATTGTATGGTAAGATACTTTGAACCCTATCAATTGTTCAGGAGAATTTGTTTTCTCAACAATTTATGCCTTGAACTTTCTAAGAGAGATTTCCAGTCTTAAATTGGGGGCTAATATACCAGTAAAATCAGTATTCTAACACCGAGTACCACCAACCTATTCCTTCCTAGCTTAGCTTTTGGCAAATACAGTATCCTGATTGTTTGGCTTTCTCTTTTCTTATTATTTGTTTAATTTTTCCACACGGCTCAAATTTTAGGTAAAAGAATGCACATTATTGACGTTGAATGAGTACCAGTTTAGGATCATTTAACTCTAGTTTTGTGCTTTCTTCAGAAATTAGCATGTGATTGCTTCAAGGACCAGAAGAAACTGAAGTCGTGAACTTGAAATTTATTTTTATTGGGACTTGAAACATGAAGTTGCTAGTTCACGCAGGACTCATGAGATGAAGACTATTTAGCAAATCGTTTGCGTAAGGAAACCCACAGCACCAAGTTGTATAATCTAGAAAATGCGGTGTACATTCACAGAACAGAAACAGAATTGATACATACTCAATGTCAGCCATTTGATTTATCAGCTGAACTCGAACATCCGATGGCAACCTGATCCTAAAAACAAACCTGGAAACCAAGCCTTAACATTAGCAAAGGAAATTTACTATTAGGTGGACATCTGAGAATACAAGTAATGACATGGTTAGTACTCACATGGTTACTTCTCTTATAATATCCACAAGGGCCAAGCCCTTTCTTGTCTTGATCTCAGAAATTTCTGGACACAGTTAAGTGTCACAAACACAGGAAAAGAATTCATTGGAAAGGAAAAAGTAATTGATAAAGCAAATTGACTTCACACAAAGACAGAAGGATACTCCTCCAGCTAACTGCAAATGGCTCATTCAGGAGCCAGTGTGAAATCTGCTCGATATCTCTAGGCAACGGATTCCCAGTGCATAAGTACACAGCTTCTTCAGTTATTTGCTGGGAAGCCATATGCGTTGACTGCACGGACCAGGAAACTTAACAGAAATGTGACTTTGAAAAAAATTTACATGCCATTAATTTAGAGAACAACTCGTGCAAGTCAATAACAAGAGAAATCAAAATTATCCACCTAGTTTAACAATGCATCAGGTACAAGTTTAGATCAGATTATATTATTGCAAAGAAACTACTTAAAACAGATCCACTACAGAGGCACATAGAGCTGATGGTGCCCACTGCTATTTCTATATGTCTAGCAGCAAATGAAACTAATAATTGTTAGTGCAGTCATTGAGTTGAACAAGCATTATTGAATGTCACATGATCTCTAGTTTAATATAACTTCTTACTTATCATTTGGTATTTGAATAAGACATAACCAGGTAGTTCTTGCATTGGGAAGTGAAGAATCATCATGCATGACCTAAAAGAGCACACAAGAATCAAAGAGAAATATAGTTGATTTCGACTTTGATAAAAAAACATTACTGTCCAACTGAAGTTTTTTATTTCATATTTTTTTAACCCACAAGCTGAAGCTTTTGAACAAGAAAATGTGCAAAAAAGAGGAATTGCAATGCAAATTTCTTAAGCAAAAGGAAACACAGTAGGCAATAGCTGAAATAAGCTATTCCTCCATTCTTTTGTGGCAAAACATTGATTTTTTTTTTCATTTTTTAATTTCTGGCAAGATTTGAATTTTACAACCTACAATTCAGATCTGTGTGTCTGAGGAAATGAAACAACTGAATTATTAAAAGGTAACAAGAACCTGCAAAATATTCAAAGCCTTTCTCATATCTCCATTGCAAAGCCGTACAAGAGCCTTCAGGCCACTGTCAGTTACATCAAGCCTGAAACAGGGAACTCCTTATCTTAGAAAGCTAAAGCAAAAGTAATTCCAGTAATTAAAAACTGAAATGGCATTCAACACCCTTTTTTTGTTACTTACTATCAACCTTTCACAACATTAATGTTTCTCAAAAACCAAAAAAAAAAAAATCTCTCTGGAGTAAAAAGAGAAATTTGCACTCTCTATTCCAAGCTAGTTAGACAGCACAAGATAACAAATCTGCAGAATTTGTGGAGCATGTCTGGCTGACACCTTGAAATTAATCTGCTGATGTTAATTGGTCTAATTGTAGGATACAACAAATATTAAAATTGCATCCATTTACTCTCAGTATGTTGCATCTTTCAAAGTCCAGAGCACTTCAAGATAGCCTTAAAACTCAAACATTTTTGACAAAATAAACATAAAAATAAATGCACAGCACCATGGTATGTCAACAAACAGAGAAAGCCTTTTCAGTACTTAAACTAATTGCTGTTGCCTTGGCATCAATTCACGCCATTTGGACACCACCAACCACAATGTCTACATACTATTATGATCCATTCTATCTACATGAAAACCAGTATGCACAAATTATATCAACTTGTGACTGTCAATTAGTGAGACAACATACAATTCTGCATTGGTATGTTCATACAAATGGCAAAGGCTGTCAAGTTGCCAACATAGCAAAAGAATGTATGGATTTCCTTATAGTCATTAATCATCATTATGACTTTTCAAAAAAAAAAAAATCTTCCATTTTTTAATTCCTGCTTTTAACTACACAAATATGAAAGTTTTGCGGCATTAGCAGCACCTAGAGAGGCTAGGTCTATCCTGCTTTACCTCTCCAGGTACATGCTCTTACTTGTGACAGGACCAGCAGTTGGTTGGAACTTATCATTCTTACTAATCTAAAGGACATGACCTGCCATTGACAGTTGGTCCAAAGGGATCTCCATGGACTCAGAACTATAACTTCACAACTTCCAGTTATCTGAAGGAAAACAGTAGTATAACAGCCACAAATAAAGAACTATGAATAAGATAACTTAATAGGCTTTCTTCATGTTCAAAATTGAGTGAAAAGATTAGAGAATCAAGGGCATAAAGAGAAGCAGGCAACAAAGAGCAACAGAGAAAACACGTGCTGAAGGTAGACAGTATGACACTAGAGAGTGACTAACCAAGATAGGTTAGAGACCCATGAAAAAGACTCGTTTCACATTATCAGTAGCAAAAATGTAATACCCTGTTGGTGCAAAGTAGAACATTGACTAGGAGAACATAGAAGGGAAAAAATGTGAGAAAAGTGTGACGAACCTGAAGAAATGTGGCAAGAATGAAAAGTAAGTCTTGTGAGATGGCAAACTATGTGAGTAATTATTCCATAATATACATTATTAAAATCCTTCTCCATACTTTCCATTAGAAAGTAAGGTAATTTCTTATCAATTTATTATTAAATATATCTACATTGTGCACAGCAAGTGCTCCAACCATTTCTTGTACAATAGGAAGATAAACAGAAAATCACTACTAAAACTACTCGTACAGGTGCAAAAGGCACAAACCAATCATATTGCCATCACTTACACATGAAAGTTAAAGACAACCAATCACCCGTTACACAAGTAGAAGATAGTAACACACAGGTACTAGTAGACAAGTACTTGAAAGACCATTAAAGATGCCAAAGTAAACACTACACCAGAATAGGGGGCAAGAAAGAAATATCCAAGTCTGCACATGCATAAAATTACCTTGAACAATTTTATACTCACCCTTCAGCCTTAATAACATGGTTAAGCCGCTCACTGACATGATAAGTTTCAAGTGGAGCAAAGCGGAATCGTGTACATCTCGATTGAACTGCTGGAATAATCTTGTTGACGTGATTACAGATTAAGGCAAATCTGGTGTTTTTGGTATATTTCTCAATCACTGTTGAAAAAACAAGCACGGATGTTAAATTTTAGCCACTAATTTCGGTCAGCCTTAGCTGTAATGAAGAAGATATTTTGCTCAAGTTCAATAAGTTTGTTTGGTAATAAAAATGGTGGTCAAGTGGTGCGTTCAAACGGTAGTGCGCGGGACCCGCCGGTTCGCGCCGTTTTTCTTAAAAACTCACGTACTAGGGTTTTTACTTCCCATTCACTAACCTTATATCATTGCTACTAGTCACATATTATTTCTCACTTAAAAGTCACTTTTAATCCCCAAACTTAATCCTTACTCTGTACCGAAAATTCATCCGGCGAAAAATCGCGAAAACCCTAATTTTGCTCCGATCTTGAAACCAAAAGTGAAACCCTACTTTCTAGGTTCATTGGCACTTATTGTGGGGTGATTGAGTAGTAGGGCCACTATAAAGTGGTATTTGTCAAAGAAAAGGGAATTTTAAGAAAAATATAAGGAATTTGCACGGCTTCTGGCCGGATTCCCCACAAAACACTATTCACCAGAAAATTTTCCCTTTTCTTCTGCCTCGGGGCGTTACAACTCCCCTCCTTAAAAGAATGTCGTCCTCGACATTCCAACTTGTACTAATCAGATCAAAATAGTTCTCGAAAGTCGATCACGTATTAAGAATCATTTCAATCTCGCTTATCATAATCAAATACTAATCAGATCAAATATCTCAAAGGTCAATCACATACTAAGAATCACTCATCACAATCAAGTACTAAAAGTACTCCAGTCCAACTTATCAAATAATCTTGATCCAATAGATAGTCAGACGAGTAACTGGATACATGTACAAAAGGGCTCGAAATCGGACTTAAAGTCCCTGATATTTGGAAAAACAATTCAGGACATAACGATATCTCAGGTCAGAAATTACCCCTGGTGGTGCTTTATAACACAACAAGCTAGCGCTCAGCTATACTTCACCAGAGCCTCAGATGCAAGATTTTGTCCATGGCGGTGCTGGACAACACAACAGGTTAGCACAACGGCTATACCTCGCCAAAGAACCTCAGTTCAAAATTTCATCCTTGGTGGTGCTTTATAACACAACAAGTTAGCACAACGGCTAAACTTCACCAGAGAGCCTCAAGTCAAAGTTTCATCTCTGATGGTGCTTTATAACACAACAAGTTAGCACAACGGCTAAACTTCACCAGAGAGCCTCAAGTCAAAATTTCATCCTTGGTGGTGCTTTATAACACAACAAGTTAGCACAACGGCTAAACTTCACCAGAGAGCCTCAAGTCAAAGTTTCATCTCTGATGGTGCTTTATAACACAACAAGTTAGCACAACGGCTAAACTTCACCAGAGAGCCTCAAGTCAAAGTTTCATCTCTGATGGTGCTTGGAAACACAACAGGTATGCCTCGCCAAAAGAATGGCGGTGCTTGGTAACACAACAGGCTATACCTCATCAGAGAGGTTCAGTTCCACCGCTACAGAGGAGTAGTAGCCGGTCTACAACCAAACAAGTACGAAAATGTTCAGAAATAGAGTCAAAAGCAGGGTTCAAGTATATCGGTTCAAAAGCAGGATCAATTATTTCAGGTTCAAGGAACACGGGTACGAGTAGAAACTCACTCGCCTAGCTTATGCCCAGTAACTCACACTCTCAAGCAGTCATCAAACTCAAATCCACATACAGATCATATATAAATCAAGATACTTGCTCAAGAGTAAAAGAGATACCCTATTTTCAGTTAGGTCAGGTCTATCAAGTGTATGTAAGGGTACACTAGCCGATTCAAATTCAAGTCTACTTACAGGTCGTATACAAACCAAACTACTTGCTCATGCGTAAATGAAATACCATATATTCAGTCAAATCACGACCACTAAGTGTACGTAAAAGCACACTTGCCTAAACAATGTTCAAGTCTCAAGTGAACTCAGCCTAGTCAATTTCCGACAGTTCAAAGTCAGTCTCAGGCAGTTCAAGTTGTTCAAATCCCAACACTTACAAATCGGGGGGTGCCATCCTTAATCAAACAAGAAGACTAGATGAAGGTTGCAAAATCAAAAATTTTCTCAACAATCCAGCCACCACCATAATGTATCAAAACCCAAGCCAACACTTATTGGACAAGTTCAAGTCATTATTTCAATTTCCTCATTCAGTTAAGTCTTGAGTACAAGACAAAATCTTCTGCGCTCTAACCTGTGCCATTACAACTTATCTCAAACTCAATCATAATTTCTATTCACATCATCGTACGTTAAACCATATTCCGTCTAAAATTCACGAGCATTTCCTCAGGAAAAATATCGGGTACACAAGTACAAGAATTCAAACTAAGAAACTTCACGACTCAGACCATATGGTCTTAAACGAAGCTCATCAAGTCATATCTTACGTGTACCATTTTCAAGATTCACAACTGACGCTCCAAAAGAGCACTGAACGTACAAACCAATCCCACAGTCCGGCATCCTAAACTTTAAGCCTAGGATACACTACAAAGATCTGAAGCCTAAGCTCTGATACCATTTGTAACGACCCCACCTCCCCCTAAGGCGAACCAAAGGGTTTAGCGGACCGCCTGCCCAGCTCTCACCGGGACTCACTCACTTACTACATTCCTCAAGTAAATTACAAGGTACAACTCAAATGATACATCCAATTCTTCAAAAATATATATCATAAGCGAAGCGGAAACTAGTTCTAAGCGTAGAATGTAGATATACATCCGATTCAATTTCAAATATTTATACAGGCCCAAAGGTACATAAATCAAAACCAAAACTAAACTATACAAGATGTACGCCATCCAGCCACCCAAAGATCCAAAAACAAGTTCTTCCTTTACTTCGATCCCTGAGGGAAGAAGAAGATAATAGGGGGTGAGCTAGAAGCTCAGTGAGTGACTAGTAAAAGCAACAGCCAAGTATATTTCACAATAAAGCATTGATATGATGTCATGATGCAGTAATCAAATGTTCATTTATTGCTCATGTGAGCCAGTTAAGTTCTTGTACTTAAATATCCAACGCTCGTTTAGATCAGGTAACCATGAAACAGAAGTAAGGAGCCATCGTGCTCCAAAGAATATGTAAACAGTAGTGGAGACATTGGTTCTAAGCACAAGACTTTCCAGGAATTCATTGAAGCCAAATTATGTCATGGCACACACCCGAACCCCAAATGATATGCAATGGAGTAATAAATGCTAGAATTAGTTCAAAAGTAACTTTGGGAACAGTCGAGGGATCACTCACTCAAACTATAGTGCTTCAAGCAGTCACGTTCAATGATACTCCAGGTTTGGAGTCCAGATCTGCGATAAAAATCCAATTTGAGAACTTTGAAACACGAGTAAGATTTGAAACTTAAACGTTCCGTTCGTTAAGAATCAACCAACTAAATTTCATTTGAAAGACATTCATGAAACACTTGCTCGCTTTTCAAATCGTAAGGTTTTTGTAGCATATATACTTGGAAAACAACACTTGAGTTGAAAGTACAAGGAAATACAAGTTTACATTGGCCATTATATCTTTTCCTCAAGGGTACAAGTTCGTTTAGGTTTTTAACGTATAACCCTCGATAACAAAGTAGTAAAGGTGCTCGCTAGTTTAAGTGATAATCACTTAACCTTCACTCAAGTTGCAAATATAGTTTTCTAGTTCTCGAGTAAAAATTCGGGCAGCATGCCCTTTGTGTTTACCTAATTTTCCAGCCATTTAGGCTTCATTATTTTTCCTCAACCAAAACCCAACATCACATATATCAGCAATTCATGTCAAGAGCCGTTCCATAGGCTCACAATATCATAAGAACAAGATTCACAATAATAGCAAGTGCAGAAATTCAATTTAGCAAAAGACAGATTTGATGTATGGATGCGGAAATAACATATCCGAGGCTACGCTTATCGGATTGAGGCGCAACCTATGCCGTTTCGAAGCTAAGACACAGGGCTACAATGTTCATGAAGGTCACTTAGTCCAGTTTCAAATGTAAGTTAGTCAAATCCTCAAATTACAGAACCAAAATCCACTTTGTCAGCTGTTTAACCGTATTACACTGTAATGGACATATCTCAGGCTAAAAAAGTCCAATTCTGGTGTTCTTAGAGGTATTTGAAAGATAAGTCAGAATAATACAACTTTCATGTTTTGGAAAAAAGCTAAATCAGTACGGATCCTAGTCAAAAAACGTGATAAACTGGACAAACTGATCACACGGACTGCTGGGAAAAAACTTAAAACAGTAAGGGTATTTTGGACTTTTCACGACCTACATTGCTCCGATTGAGCTGAAATTTTGTAGGAGCCTATAAAATACCATTCTATACAACTTTCATTCTTTGACCTAAGGCCAATTCGGCCTCTAACATAGGGTTATAAATTCGGACAGAATGTTGGGGAAAATTTTCCAGATTCTGGAATTTTTTGTAATCAATGGAACTTTCTCAATTTTCTTGTTCTAATCACTACCAAAACACCTTATACAACCTTAATTGCAACATACAAGCATCATACAACAAATTGGGCAGAAATTCCTCAAGCCCTAGTTCATCATATAAAAGGGGAAAACTTCCAAATTCATCACACCCACTTGCATAATCATGAAATCAAACCAAAACTTAAGCTAAAAACACATCTTAAAGCAAGATTCAAAGCAACAAAGATCATGATCAAATGTTGGTACCTCAAAAACAAGGCTTGGTAGAGTGATCCTTCACCCCCTTTGATATTTCTTGGTTCCTCAAGCTTCCTAACTCACAAGCTACACTTTAATCGGTTTGGATTTGGATTTGTTACTTGGGTTGAAGCAAATCAAGAAGATGGAATTGTTTTCCTTTGGTGTTTTTCTCTCTTGTCTCTCTCGGCCAAGCAGCAGCAAAATGAAGGGAAAAGTTGTGAAATTTGGAGTTAAATGGAAAGACCAAGTCTTGGTCAAGAAGCTCTAAGGTCTTTCCTTGTCATTTTAGCCACTAATTTCGGTCAGCCTTAGCTGTAATGAAGAAGA